TTTTTTTTTTTCAAAAAGTACCATAAATGGCTTAGAAAGTGTTGGCAATCCTAAATATTCTATACAAACATAAATACACAATATACACGCAAAACGCTTGTTAATTCCTTAATTTTTCGCTCTTTTAAACTCATGTACTTAAGCATTTTGTTGTTATCGATTTTGGCAAAAAATATAATCGGAAAATATATGAATGAAAAAAAAAACAACAATAAGTGTTATAGCGCAATTAGAATAAGAGGATGGAATAATGGGACTAGAGCTGTGGGACGGCGCTTAACCCACGGAAACTTGCGTCGACGCGATTTTTTTAAATACCCTTTTAGTGTTGTTCGTTTCATCTACACTCAGCAACTTTTTGCACGCTATTCTTGTTGTCAGCGGTGAATTAATAACTTAATTTCATACAACAGGTTTGTTCACATAAATAATCTCTGTTCATGTATACTCCAGTAAAAAAAAAAATAATATCCAGTACCTTGCCAGTATGTAATACAATTGCTACGAATTACTTATTACAAACTATCGCGTAAAAAATAGAACTAATGTGTATTATAAAAGCGATTGGGAACTGGTTAGTCTGCGAAAATCAGCACACACAAATATATTGACTTGACCAACATTATTTTGTCCAAAAGAATCTTAATCAATAATATCTTGAGTCATATTTGGACTTAAGAACTTGAAACTTTCGTCCAAAACAGTGATATTCATTTTTGTATGCTTCACTGTAGCACAGTTACAAAATTTAAGGAACAAGTGGTACCATGAAAAGTATGTATGTAAGTGCGCCTGGGTCACACAGTACAAGTGAAACTTACGTTACATGTATGAGTGAACCACCCCAATGTGAAAATTCACTTTCATGCAACCGAGCATATCCACACACTCACATAAATGTGTATATATGTATATGACCAAATAACTGATACGCCGTTAGTAAATACATATGAATGTCCTTTTCCGTTGAATAAATTTTCGTTAAGTTGGCTGCTTAGCGGGTAAACTTATTTCTATTAAAAAAGAGCTCGGCCACTTCTATCGAGCACTTCGACCACACCGAAAGCGATCCAGCCACTACTCCTGCGTATTCCTCAAGGTAATATTGTATACCAAAAATCACAATACACAGTTCACCAATTTGACTAATAAAGCCACTTTGTTATATATTGAATTAATCCGTGGTGTTTGTTTTTGATTATTTCATTTCAAAATTAAACCCTTGGTGCAACTACGAGCGACGTTGCCCCAAGCGTTTTCAGTTTGATTTATATATATTTTTTATAAAAGTCTAGCACTTTACCTAATGAGCGCCACAACAATCCACATTTCAAACTTCGTACAAAAATTATGAAATTTCAACAAACTTTAACATTTTCAGCCAAAACTTTAAAACTTTTATTCACAATTTTAGACAAATTCTGGATATGCAGTTTTATAGCTAATTAAATTTTAGTAGGTTAAAGTGCAAATTTCAAGACGATAAACAATCGCGTTGATTTTTAATATTTTTTTTTTTTGCTGACGTTGTTGTGCATTTTCTTTCATATAAAATGAGTAGTCCACTTAAAAATGCGTTATGTAAACTTTTTTGGATTTTTAGTTTCCGGTGCATATCCAACATTTTTCTAAAAATTCTAAATAAAAAGTTTTAAAAATTTTGAATACGATTGGTAAAGTTTGTGGAATTTTCATAATTTTTTTACGAAGTTTGAAATACGAATTTATGTGGCATTGGTTAGGTAAAGTGCTAAACTTTTATAAAAAATATAAACATTAAATAAAAAAAAAAAAAAACATAGCCCAAACTAGTCAAAAAGTCGCTTGACTTATTCAGATGACCACAAGTGTAACTTTGTATTTTATTGATTAGTTAATATAATGTTATTATCTTAAGTTTATATTTTGATTTATAATATTGTATACCATACAACAACAAAATAATATATATCACGTTTTATTCATATTCAAGAAATTATATAATCGGTATATGGTAGCTGAAATGTGAAATTTAAGCTCTAGATTATAATTTCTCAAGATACCTAGAGAATACAGCATCAATGTCGCCTCCATATTTTATTGTTGATTCCGTTCGGTTATTATTCAGGGTTAAATGACATTTGTGTGTGGGCTCATCACGGTGTTTTCGAGATATCCGACCGAAATTATGTAAGTGAGTATATTCTTATAATATATGGATCGTTTGTCAGAACCGGAAAAATCGGACCACTATAACATATAGCCCCCATACAACTGATTGTTCAGATATGAGATTTTTCGTTATAACTCCTCCCCTTATGCAGCTAGGAACGGAAAATATAGCACTATTTGCACTCATCATCAACAGAATACTAACAGGGTCACTATAACCTATAGTCTCCATACAACTGTTGTTCAGATAAGGGGTTATACTTTAAAGAAAGTCCTTAGTTTGAACGGCCAAAACCGAGCAATTTCGTGAGCTACTTTCTAAATAACCATACAAGTCTACTGCGAACATCGTCAAGATCGATGCTATATAAGCTATAACTCCCATACCACTGATTGTTCAGATACCAATTTTTGGGAT